AAAACTGCGACCAGCGGAGCTCCGGTGGCCTAGTGGCAAGAAGCTGCACTACAATCCCTGAGGCGCACGGTTGGAATCCACCAGATGCTCTGCTGGTGAAGGAGGGGCAATCTCTTCCTGTACCAGGCAGATCAGATTTGACGGTACACACACACACACAAATAATAAAATAGAAATTAAACTTTAAAAAAAAATTCCGACCAACAACACAGATAGTAATGCATACATATACCCCAGCTACAGGATGATCTCTACATTCCTGAGCCTTTTCCCTGAAGAGTGTTAGGAGGGCGACATGGTACTGCACTACTAAATGCAATACATTCCCTGCAAAGAGGACTGACAGTTACACGCTGTGGTCTGTAGACTGAGTCCTTTACCTGCCCTCTCGTGAGGTTACACACTCCCGAAAGAAAGTCAGTGGACACTTGGTTTTGTAACTGCTCTGTTACGGTTCTTTACAGTGTTGCAGGATGGTCTATGCACCCTGAGTCTTGTATCTGCATGATGACAGGTACTAACCCATCGTCAGGAGTGTTTCTGATCACCTAAGACATGTGTCTGACCCATTATGTTGGCTGACAAGGATGAGGATGGCCTTTGGATACTTTAGACTTATACCTGACCTGTCAAGATACTTGGCACTGCTGCAGTGGGGTCCTTGGACACCTGCATCCTGGAAAAGCCCTTTTAGGAGGCTCACGAACTGTGAAGAGGGCAAACTGGGCTCTAGAATGCTGTCTGTACCCATGAACGGTGTACCTCTCCAGTGATGAGCTGTGACCCTGATGACCGATGTTAGGTAACTATTGGGGTCAAGTACCTGCTCTGTGATGTGGGCTGAAGGACATGTACTATGGCATGTGCCTATTCCTAAAAAGGGGCCTGTGAGGAGGAATGTTACCAAGTATGTACATTTTGAAGGACGTTGCACATCTGAGACATTAACTATCCTATAAGGAAAACTGAAAGAGTCACAGGTTCATCTGTGTACCTGATTCCTGTGGGTGCCCTTGCAGGTAGACTGACACGGATGCATAATGGTTTGTGAATACCTGGTGACAGGGACTGACACTACTGAAGATGGTTTCTGTGCACATGACTACTGTGCATATCCTGACAAGAGGTTTCCTCATCCCGAAACTACCATGTGTAAAGGCCTAACGCTGCTTCAGCATGAGCATGGACTGTGGACTCCTGAATCCTATACCTGTCATGTTAGGAGAGCTCATCCTGCTGCCGTATAAGCGGTGCACAACTAAGTCCAGAACCAGAACTTGCTTGAGGGTTTACAGGTCTGCTGTGTACTATGTGCAACCTGAGTCATGCACAGGAAACATCTAGGACATCTAGCTTTCAACACGCCTCACGAGGGGAACTGACAGTGCTGCAGGGTGTCATATGGCAATAGGTGTGTCAGAGACAGAAAGGTATGCACTGTTGAGTCTTGTACCAGCAGGTGGACAACAAATGACTCTACATTAAGAGGGTTTGGGACCACTTAAGACCTGTACCTGCCCAGTTAGGTGAGCTGACTGTGTGATACAGGATGGCAGTTTTGCACCTAAGCCCTATATCTGCTTTGTGAGAGTGAAAGTCCAAGCTAAAGGATGGTCCATGGACCCTTGGGTCCCATACAAGCCCTATAAGGAAGGTCGCCACCTGCAGGATACTTGGTGCACAGTCATATCTTTTTTATTTATTTATTTTATTATTTTTGTGTGCGTGTACCGTCAACTCAGATCTGACTGGTACAGGAGGAAATTGTCCCTCCTTCCCCGGCAGAGCATCTGGTGGATTAGAACCGTGCGCCTCTGGGATTGTAGTTGCAGATCCTTGCCACTAAGCCACCAGAGCTCCCCTACAGTCATATCTTATATCTGCACTGTCATATAGGAAAACCCTGCTTTAGGATAATCTCTGCGCACATGAATAATCAATGCGATGTTGTTGTTGTTGTTATGTGGCATCAAATCACCTGAGACTCATAGTGACCCTACAACAACTCTGAACCCTGTTCTAACCTGAGCCAACCTTAATGGTCTCTGACACACCTATCGCCATTACACTAGTCACTGTTTCCATCCATCACATCAAGGATCTTCCTCTCTTGTGCTGTCCCTCCACCGTCCCAAGTATAATGTACCTCTCCAAGGACTGGTCCCTTCTTGCAACATGCCCAAACTATGTCAGACAGAGCTTAAGAATCCTTGCCTCCAAGGAGCAGGCTGGTTTCACCCTTTCCAGGATAAACCTGATTGCTCCCCTAGCAGTCCATGGTATGTTCAGTAATCTTCCCTAACATCACAATTCAAAGGCATCAATTCTCCTTCTATCGTCCCTAGTCATTGTCCAGCCTTCTGATTCATAATACATAAATGAGAAGACCATGGCCTGGACCAGGTGCACCATAGTCTCCATACAGACATCATTGCACTTTAGTACTCTGGACAGGTCCTTGACAGCCGACTTTCCCAATGCAATTAATCTTTTTTTCTCCTGGTTCCTTGTACCAAGACAGTTGATTGTGGGACCAAATAAACTAAAGGTGTTAACAATCTCAATCTCTTCGTTGTTTATCATGATGCTACCAATTAGCCCAATGGTGAGAATCTTTCTTTTTCTTTTAATTTAAAAAAAAAATTTATTAACTCTGTGTGTGTGTGTGTGTGTGTGTGTGTGTGTTCTATTAAATCGGATCTGACTGGTACAGGAGGAGATTTCATTTGACCTTCTTTAGCTTCAGCTTAAACTTGCATATGAGTAGTTGGTGGGGCGTTCCACAGTCAGTACCTGACCAATGGTTTCTCATATACTTGATTCTTGTACAAGTCCTATGAGGAAGCTCGCCATCCGCACAATGCTTGGTTCATACCCGAAACCTGTACCTGTACTGTGAAGTGGGAAAACCATGCTCTAGGATGGTCTCTGCACATGTGAAGTGTCCACATCTACAGTTATGGGGACTGACCCAGCTGCTGGATTATACGCTGTCACCTTGCTACTCTACTTGCCAAGTGTGATGGGCTTACAATGATGCAAGACAGGTTTTCATGCACCTGATTTCCTGTATCTGCTCTGTAGGGATGAATAGCCCTGCTGGGGTATGGTCCTTTGACATCTGGGCTCTATAGGCCCTGTGATCATCAGGCTAACAACGTTTAGGATGGTCTGTGCACCCTTTAGTCCTGTACCTGCACTGTGAAGAAAGAAAACCTTGTTCAGGAATAGACTCTGCACATCTTGGTCCTGTATCTGTCCTTCTAGGAAGGCTGTCTGTGCTTCTCAAAAGACTGTGCACCTGCTACACATCAGAGAGATGGACAAGGAATAAGGATAACAGAAGAAGAATTGCTTCCTTTAAGTTGTAATTCTAGAGAAGAGTACAGAGTGCCAAGTGGACTGCCACAAGAACAAAGAGATGTGTCCTGGAAAGGCTGCAGCCAGAGTGCTCCTTAAAGGCAAGGAAGACAAAGCTTTGTCTTTCATGCTTTGATCATGAAGCTAGATGAGGCTATTTCTTGGAAAGAGACATCAAGCGTGGAAAGATCAGCAAAGGAGAGGAAGAACCCCAACAAGATGGACACATTCTATGATTTCAGCACTGATCTCTAGTGTCTCAGTGATGATAAGAATGGCACAGGATAGAGCAGGTTTCAGGATGGCTATTCATAGGTTCACTATGAGTCATACTCGACTCAGGGCTACCTAACAACAACCACATGTCTGTTGTTAGACCCTATGCGCCCACAGGTATCTTCTATAAGCAATAGGAAGAAAAGGGGGGAAATCAACTATGTTTAAAGGACCACGGACTTAGATGTCCAGGAAGACCTGGAATGAGATGAATTGACACAGTAACTGGAGTAATGAGGGTAGGAGTGTCAGAGACGGGGAGATTGGGCTCAAGATAACGCAGAATTCAGAGCTATTGTGCATAGGGACGCTATGCAGTGGTCTCGATGGCATACAACAGCAACAACTACAGGAGACCTAAGGATTTTCTGACCTTCTCCTTAGTCCTTGTACTTTAACATGTGCTTTAGCTGCTCCTTAACAGTTTGCCTTCCTGAAGACTAGCCTCAAAGACCATCTGCAAACTGGCAGTTGGATCAGACAAGTAAGGCTCCAGGGATCTGCTGGGCTTTAATTAGCATTTCTTTCTTAATACCCAAGAGAAGAACAGAAATCAGTTCCTTCCTAAACTGTGCAAGCAAAAAGAACCGTGGCAGGGCAAACTAGTGTCTGAAGGAAGCGAGGAGGCCTGGGCCGATGATGGAAGCACGATTGGTCGCTGACTGTGCTTACTTTCCGGTTATGATGAGAGCGTGCGGCTGTCAAAAAGGATCATCTCGGCGAGCTCTGGTGGCCTAGTGGTAGGAAACTGCACTGCAATCCCAGAGGTGCGCGGTTCAAATCC